TGTTATTACTGATGTCTAAGCCTTATTAGACATCAGAGAAGGCAAGCTAGAGAGGCTGGCACTGCAGTCCAGTAAAGGTTGACTTCATTCTGCAGCTATTTCCTCAGTTAGGTCCCTCCAATAAGCTGCAGTTTCATCAAGCTTGTAAGGACACAGTAAGCTGGACCTCATCTCCTCATTCTGGGTGAACTGAACCTGGGCAGCCTGTTCAAAGGTTACTGCGGGGGTAAGAGGACAGACAAAGCATTATCAGATAAGCCTGATTTCCTTAGGAAGTCAGCTCAAATTAACAAGCACAGATTCTTCTTCCACAGAGGTGCAGATGGGAAACACCTAATCATCTGAACAAAGAACAAAGCAAAGGGGTGAAGGTTAAGGGACCCTGCTGGCCAAAAAGAGAAATATAGATCTTCTAGGCTATTGTGCTCTACAGCAGAAGGAAATGGCTCCAAGTCATTTACACACTTGTATTTTAACCCATTCAAAAAATTATCTTGATACTTACTATAACTGGCAAATAAATACCGCAGTAAGGTGAAGGATTCAACTTACGTATTTGCGTAAATCTGATACAGCTACCCACATTTCCTGATATGCTTGAATTTGGTGACCTCACGGTCAACACACTTCCTTCAATTCTTGCGCTTTGCAATGCAGAATGGAACAAGTACACTGAGCAAAGGCACAAAAGTCCAATTACTTTGCATAAATAAAAAACACATCTTATAATGAATGCTACGGCTACCCACTATGCCTTTTCAATACTTAACACAGGTACAAAGCATAGAAACAAATATACCCACATTTTTTTCAATGCATAACCGAGAATCAAAGAAAATACACAGAGAAGGTTTCCCACTTCTCCAGCGCTTGCTGTATTTTACTGATAAATAGCTGAAATAAACCATAAACCAAATATTCCAAAACACATTTCATCTGTGGGGAGAGGGTCTACTGTTACTTTGTGTGTAGCTATCAAGACACTGTATCTTCAGAGGAAAAAGTCATTTGCCCACATTGGCAACTGCACTTTACTTAGCTTGAGGTTCAAGGGCCAGACCATTTCACTCAGACTTTACAAAGAGGGCTGCAGAAAAATATAGCTGTTCCTAAGAAGAGTCATTAGCTACTTAATTCTGTCCCTGCTGGTTCTCTTCAGCTAGCATGTCCTTATGAACTGATAAGGACATAAAGAAGCTGACCTTATTAATGAAAGACTTTATTTTCCTTAATCTGGCAATGTCCAAAATTTTGAACTATATGACCTTTAATCTTCTTTCCACCACAGGAAAAGCCTATTTAGTTTTATAAGAGAACACTGATAATTACTGAAGCAAATCCAAGTGTGCTTTTTTTTTAAACAACCGGCAATGACCTGAGGGTTGGAATCCTTCATTGTTTACAATGAAACCCGTGGTATTTGAATTATTTTTAAGGTACAATGAACTAAATCCAAGGAAAGTCTGTCTTTATGTGTACAAACAACATATAAATAGATCAAATGCTGAAATGTGGCTCTCACATTAAATAATATACTGAGAATAACAAGCAACAGTTGTGCAATATCCTTTTGGAGTGAATGTAAGGAATGAGAGTCACTTACGAGAAATAAATTGATTTTTTAGTAATCGAGGGAATGGCAATTCCTGAAACTATAGATCTCTAGTTTCTGATAAATTCACATTGTATTAATCTTTCTTGAGACTTTAAAAGCTCTTATGCCCTGCTGTATTTACCCTCTTAATAAAAGTATCAGACATGTCACATGAAGATCTACTACAGCATGTTACCATGCACAGACTATCCTTCCACTGGGGTGAGTAATTGTATTCTTCTTTGTTCCACTCCAAGGTGGGCACTCAATGCTGCCATTCCCCTTTCAACCTCTCCAAAGAATGAAGATCTACAGTGGAGTATGACATTATCAGAACAAACCTGTCCATATATAACAATTGTCATTTACTTCTCTCACATACTGTTTTAGTCATACCTTATTCTCCCCTTTCCCCCTCCCACCCAGCTTTTCATTTGCGCATGTACATCCATATCCTCCTTTTAAGGTGGCAATGTGTAGGAAATCGTAAGAAATACAAATACTGACTTCTATAGTTTATACGCATCAGAGCTGGTCTCTTTCCTAGTTAACTTTCTTAGACCCAAGACAGACCACTGCCATGCTAAAAGAAATAAATACTACATCTTGCACTTCTGTGTGCATATACACAGGCAGACACACCAGAAACTGAAACTCACTCTCTCACACATATGTGGATTCATGATATAGGTACCCTTTCGCTGTCTTGCAGTTCAGAGCCTTCATTGGAGCCACTGACTCAAAAGACATGCAGGCACACCTAATCCTCCTTGTCTGCTCTGCAAAATTCACAAAGGTCTCCAGGTTTCTGCAAAGGACTTATGGTCCACTTGTAGATCAGTTCTCATAGCACCACAGCCAGCAACACAGTGGCTCAACACAAATTGATTTATTCATGTTTTCCTTTCTATGCCTCTTAAGAGACAGTGACACCTCCAGAATACAATCTCAGGTCACTTTTAGTGTAGTCCTCCATATTATCCTCAGTTCTACCAATATGCGTCACTTTTTAACTGCATTGCCCTAACTGAAATAAATCACTTACTGCAATGCCACAGGTACAAGATGCAACTGTTTTACAATTAAATTAATATCTGGTTTTCCATTTCAAATAATTTAGTTGTTTTAAAACTAAACATATAAAAAAATTGAAATTTCATTTTCGATTTCTGCTAAAATACCTCAAATCTGATTCAAATATAGCTCTCTCAGTCCACAATAGTGATAAAGATGCTAAAAAAATCCTAAGTTTACTCAGAATACACCAGTAAGCTCTTCAGCTGTTTCATGGAGGGTCACAGAATGGAAAATACTGCAATAAAGTACTTTGCAGGGGAATAAAATACTTGAGCAAACCCTGCACTATTAAAATAATGCTTAGCAAGGAAAAAAAATCAATGAGGAGCTGAACATCCTAAAATAATAAGCAAGATGGCTAGGACCCATATCTATCATTTTTATTGCTGTAAAATAAAGCAATGCTTTTCTGTCACTCCTTTCAGAACTTAGCAAAAGCAGTGAATTGAGTAGTCCTTGTATATAACCCACCAGCAAGTGCTGAGACAGCAGTGTTTGTAAGGCTAATGGTGCCGCACCTCATTTAAAACTGAAAGCAGCTCATAGAAAAGTGAGACTGATACTAATAGGACATACAGTGAGTCAGTTCCACAAGTCTTTCCTGTCCTGATTCACACTTAGAGTAAGAACACAAAACAGAAATTTCAAAGCCGCATCTGCACTTCATCTGCCGTCTTCACATCATTTTAACATGACCATTACTGTGTGACCTCTAACTTGCATCTGCCTCTTCCCCCTCAACCCTCTCTTGAAAGCAAGACTCTTCTTCTGAAGATCTCTTTTTCTTTTCTTTCTCTTCTCAAGGGTGACTATAAAAAAGGGCTGTGGAAAGGGAAAAACAACCCTGGATTTTACAAACACAAGTCAGTCCAACTTTGCTATCTCTGTTGAACAAGGTTCTTCCTTCCTGCTATTATTAGTAAATCTCATGGTTTACTTCTCTCAGTATTGAGCTGGCAGATGATGTACAAAAGAATAAGGATTTCTTACTTATTAGCTTCTATCACCATTAAATCCTGTATACCTACACACTGGCATGAAAAAAACCTCTTCCTGTGGAAGGCTGTTCATCACATTTTTCATGCATTGTTGCTGATATGTTTAACGTTTTTGTTTCACAACTCAGCAATGAAGCAGCTATTGTTTCCAAAGTGCTGAGTAAGTCCAACTGTGGGAATGAGAGACGTGAAACAACTCTCAATGGTCTCTCTGGTGGCTGTTTTGTGAAGTGCCCAGACATGTGAGGGCAGAAAGCAGGGGTGAAGGTAAACCTACCTACAGAGAAGTGTTAATTGGACAGCTAACTTTTTGGTTAGTTACCAAGAAAGTCATCCTCTGCTTCAGTTTATTTTTTATTTCTATGCCAGCATTTTATTCCTTAGGAAAATTTCTGCTCTTTATGTATCTAAGCAAGTCCATCCAGACATACAGTGCACATCACACAAGGCCAAGCATGCTCTTGTAAGTTTACCTGTCTAAACCCGTAGACTGGCAAAACCTCTGATGTAAATTTCACAGTACGAAATACCAAATCCCCATTTCTTCTTCCTTTTGGAAATCCTTTTCTAAAAAAGCTTATGCCAATCCCACCATGAAGCAGTTCATTAGAACCCACACAGCATTTAGAAACAACACAACTTCAAACATCTTCACAGATGATACTCTGCTTTTCCCATTTCTGCAATTTTCCTTATTAAAGAATTATACACTGGAGTACTGAAAGGATTATACTTGCAAAACATATTTAGATAACAATGCATATGCCTTAGGGACTTCAGAATAATATATACAGAGAGCCTTTGTGAGCTATGGTAGAAGAGACTGGAGGGATCAGAGGTACATATATATATATGTGCTTATATACATACACATACACATACCCCCATATATATAAAGAATGCAAATGACAAGTATGGTTTTTTTTTCAAATAAGAAAATTTAAAATAAAAACCCCAAACAATCAATTATCATTAAATATGGTAAAAATTAATTTACATTGCTTTGGAAGATGAGATCAACTGGAGGTAATTATTACCAAAAATTTTCATTAAAATGATCAGTTCATCAAATATCTGTGTTTAGATTGCAGCATTTCATTCATCTTAATTCTCAAGTTCCATGAAAAAAACAGCTAAATGCTATCAGAGATCACCTGTGCACTCTGACGAGAAGGTATTTCAAAGCCGTGGAGTGCTGCTCATGACTAACTGCTGATTTTACAGAAGATAATAAGCCTCAACAACCACATATATGAATTTACTCCTGAATTTGCAAAGACGTAACTATATGACTAATTCTATCTTATGAATTAAGGTATGCATAAACTTACATTTGCACTGTTGGCAGGAGCCCAGCTGCAGGAGCCTGTGACGGTCTCAGTCCTTAGTCTTCGGTATGGGAAAGCTGAATGTTGAACAGGGCAGTCACACCAGATACCTGAAGTACATGAAGATTCATGTATGAATTCATCATGAAGAATGCTACACTAAAGGAACACTGAGAAAAGGCGTGGAATTATAAATATATCTTCTGTTTATATACCTGTGTAGAGAGGAAAGAACACTATTCTGCTGAAAGTTTGTAGAGTGACCTAATTCTACTAGCAGCTATTGTAATGCTGAGTGCTTGTTCCCATTTCTGTCTGCAGTAATCACTGCCCAAACGTCAACGGAGAATTACCTACTGAGTAGCAAGCACACACACAGCAGAGCAAAAGGATAACAGACAAGAATCTAATGTTTTCAAGCATACATTTTTCACATATTAACACCAGTTGCACCACTCATTAGTTGAAATAATGGGGAAGCAACTGAAAACATTCAATTTTCAAAGTATCAGTTATCACAGCTTAAGCAAATAAATACATAAAAGTAACCGAAAATAAAAGTCCTCACAACTTTGAACCGATGAAGCTGCCTTACAAGAGCACTCAGTCTAACAGCACAAGAGAAAGACCAGCCATTTATTAGCAGTGGAAATGGTTTAATCCAGTACAAAGTCGATTTACATACAGGATCAAATGATTACTTAGAGCAGTTTGAGTCTGAGAGATTGTTGTTGCAAAGCCTAAAACAATGCAACTATTTAGTTCAACAAGGTTACTTGATCACAGTTCTCAATTACCTACACAGAGAAAGGATTTAAGTATAACCCACAATTTAGAAGATACAACAGTCAATGCCACATAGTAGACCTCCACTGAAAAGTGCACATTGTGAAAAGTAAAGCTAATTAAGTATTGCCAAAGCTTTTCAAGCATGGGATGAATGGATTGAAGCAAAAAATAAGATTGGACGCATTCCTAAAAGTAATGATAAATATAGGCTCAATACAAGTGTTCCCAGATTAAAGTTTTTGGTTCATGTTACACCAATGTCAGACTAGATTAAAGTAAGTCTTGCAGAGGTGTCATGTTAATAAGCATTTTAAAGGTGAAGGAAGACAATATTCAGGGGACAAATCACAGATTTTGAGGTAAGATTTAAAACAAGGTTCACATGATAGCTTGCTGGATTTACATCCAGACTCATCCTGTCACTCGTAGCATGGGGCAACATTTGGTCAAAAGCATTTTCTTTCAAAAATTTCCTAGCATATTGAAAAAGAAACAAGCCAATCACATTTAATTTGGAGGAGAAGGCTGTTCTATATTTGGAATCATGACAATGCTATTCTAGCAGATGAATTATGCGTTACGTGCATGGAGACCTGTACACTAAAGACTTCTCATAGCCGTGACCTTTGGAAGCGTATGGAGCAGGGGGAAAAGGAAGAAGAACAGACAGACTCTAGAGAACAGATATTATTATCATCAGAACTAGCAGAAATCATAGCAGAAGAGAATTCGATGTTTATGTCCACCTCACACAGACAGTACTTCAGTGCTTGTTGTACATAAGGCAACATTGAATTTGACAATATAAATAAATCACATTTTTGTTTTGTTTTGTTTTTTTCTCTCTTCCTCTCTCTCTGCTCCTAGGATTAAACATTAAAAGCTTATCTCCTTGGTTTTAGCTCCAGAATAGCTGTAAAACCTCAAAGGTCAAACATCTCTTTTGCCGCAACTGCTGAACTTGATCCAAAACATGAAACATTGTGAAAATTAGTTGTAGTTGGAATACTTATAACTTACATTCACCTTTGGGCTTCAGTGTCCGCAGAAGCCCCACCTATAATATTGACTGCTATAATTTTCTTTGATTTAAGCAGCATTTTTGCCCTGCAGTAATATTATGACCTATTATTTGAGAAAGATATTTTGAAGCTCTGTCCTCACTGATTTTATAGTTAAGAGAGGCCATTAGATCACACAGTTCAAGAAGGGCAAATCTGTGGTCAGCCATACAAACAGGGTTACATCACATGATGAGCAGTATTGCTGTCTTGGCACATGAGCTTCTGGGTGACCACGTTAAGTCCTGTTTGGAAGGAAGAAGGGCTGCCAGGCTAAGGCAGATACCACTAGACAGCCCCAGAAGGCAACTGCCTGCCCAGGCTAGCCCCATGCTGAGCAGAGCCATGCCTCACCTCCCACTTGTCCAAATCTCCCTCTCCTCTGGGATTGCCCAGATACGCGGGATGTGCTGTACAACTATCAAACATCCAAGTAATTTGAAATGCAACTTGTAAAGTTACAGAAAGCATGAACATCTGAGATGCTCAAACTGCCTGGTGGAGTTCACCCTCAGCCGAAATGCTGCAGGAGGGCTTGCCTTCACACTGTTTAGGACTAACATGTGGAAGTTCAGACTAGACCACTTTGTAGCGAATGGCCCAGGTCACCATCTGGCTCCAAACCAGCATTTTCTGCGCTTCTTTGAACTCTGTGTTCAAAGTGTTTGAAATGATTAGAAAGTAGTTTTTCAGCTTTAGGCTGAAATGTATACAGTGACCAAGGGCACAATGTGGGGGACATTTAAGGGCATAAAGCCACCTGGGATAGAACTGGCTTGTTCTTACCATGCTTAGCCAAGCTTGCCATAGGCCATATCCACACCATCCAGAATAAACGTTTAACCATGATATCTAGTCAGCTGAGCCTGCATTTCCTCTTGGAAAGGAGTAATTGATTTATTCAGGGAGCAGAACTTGCTTAGATGGATGGCTAAGGGCTAGAAGTAAACATGTAAGTCTGAACCAGACTGAAAATGTCAACCACTTGTTCCTTGCACTTTTATTATACTTTTAAGCAACATGTACAGTAATGACAAAATTATGCAAGCATAAGTATTCCAGCATACTTCTCAGACAGTGTTTATCCCTTAAAGAAATCTTACAAATACAATGCTTTACTTAAATTTCATGATTATGCACCACAAACTACCAGACAACCTTGATATGAAGGTATCAAGGTTCAGTCAATACACAAAACTATGATCAGTGCAGCTATAGGTACACAGCAAGCACAGTATGTATCTCTATTTCAGTAATATATGTATGTTCCAAAAGAAAGTGCTTCTGACTGATAATCAAAATGCAGTAAACTATACTGCCAGAGAACAGTGGTATAATGTGGCTCGTCAACATAGAAGCATGCAAAAAGAAAGAAAGAAAATATCAAAACCCCATTGATTTTCTCTAACCAGTGTTACTGTATCAGTGAAACCATTTGGCTGGCAAGGAAAATGTTGCAGTGCAAAAGCAACCCCAAGAAAGCCCTACTTCGTTTACAATCATTCTATGAACATATCTACTTAGGAAATTTCAGGACTTCAGGAAACTTAAGGCGGCCAAGGCTAGCTGAAAGGCTGTGCTTCTTGGTCTTGCATGAGGCCACCCCTGAACTGCTGGGTTTACAGGTGAGAAAGGAGACTCTGCTCCCTGACAACACATGGCCCAATAAAAGGGAAAGCCATCCTGCTCTCAAGCACACCCCTAATACCAACCTTACAATACAGGGTGCCTGTCCTCTGCTGTGGGCTGAGCTGTGGGTCTGATGTTTGGCAGGGTAGGAAGTGAGGCAGAAGGAATTGCTACAGTGCTGTCCTTGTTTCCATGACACGTGCTTTTATAACTTGTGCTCCCTGAGGTAAAAGGCATAATTTGGCCTCAACAGCTGACAACTCAGCAGTTCTCTGCCTGTGGGATAAGGGAAAGCTGCTTCTGTTGTAGCAACAATCTTTGACCCAGCTCCAATGCCAGCTCCAGACTGTGCATGGAAAGGAGAGGAGACATATGCCCTTCAAAACCTTACACCCTGACCAACATTCATACCAGTGGGTTAGGAGTTATTTTTAGTTTAAGCGCTTTCTGCTTGCAGTGAAACCTGCTACTAGGAGTGATTCCAAGGGACAGCAGCAGGGAAAGGCAGACAGCAGCAAAGTGGCAAAAGCCCCTGCTGAGAATTTCTTGCTTGCAGGAAGTGCAAGGACCTTATTAACACATGGCAGGAGGGCTCCCACAGTCCGCAGATTTAGGGATTGTGCATTTTCCATGGGAGGAAGGACAGCAATGATCAGCAAAAACTAATGGTGTATACCAAAAACAGTCCCTGCGTATTCTCAGTGTCAGATCAGAACCTCCTGATACCATTCATTCTAATTACCATCTTCTAAATCAGTAAGGCAGGCAACGAACACAGGAACTTTTTGCTGGTGATTTGTATCTTAGCTGCCCTTTTACCCCCCAAATGCAGGTCAGAAGACAGCTCTGGCCATCTAGGAATTTATATAGCCCCCATCACTGCTATCCTAATGACTCTGGAAAAGATTCATAAGATTCTGGAAGACAACCCTTGGAGATGCTTAAGCACCCATAAAAAACAAACTTTCGATGCTTAAACAGGGGGAGGAGGGCGGGTGGAAGAGGAAAAAAAAAAAAGAAAAAAAGAAGAGATGTGATGTTAAATTTTGTAGGCATCAGATGCATAATCTCATCTTTGACAGGGCCACACCACCTGAGTGATGCTCAGACACTCAGGATTCACAGCACAATTATTCCCAGCCTGTGCCTGCTGATAAAATCTGCACAGAACCACAGAATGAAGTTCCCCAGAAAAAGCAGAAGCCGCAGCTTTTGTTTATAAAGACAGAGCCAGAAAAATAAAGCAGCAGTGGTGCTCCCTTTTTGTACAGCAGCCCAGCCACTGCAGCACTCACTGGGGTGTGGAAAATACCTCTGACTACCCCAGAGGCTACTCGAAGTAACAGACAAGTCAAGATGGAGAATTCTCCAGCCTTACTGTGGATGGCATTTCTCTCTGCAGCTTAAGTAACCACTGACTTGGAGCAGGACTCCATGCCCTTCTGAGAGGGCATTTGCTAGAAATGAGGGACCATGGGTTCCAGGTCCTGCTCCCAGGGGTTATTTATATCTTCCACATTAAACATTTTATGGAATGAAATACATCAACCAGCTTTGGTGCATAGAGCACAATCACCTCTGAAGGATTACCCAGGAGTAATCTATTTTTCTTGGTTTTAGACAAAAATTTGATGCCTAACAGCCAGATATAAGTCATAACTAAATCTCAGGGGAGAAGATACACCGAAGTATTTATCAGCTAATTCTAGCTAATACAACAGGAGTAAAACTGACTTTCAGACCTGTTCTCCTGGTCTCCCTGCATGTGAATAAATGTCTCAGAACAGCATTGCCTCTCAAAGAGCCACCAGTATCTTGCTTGAGTTCTCAATCCTTCCACATATGCAAGTATCTGTAAAACTCCTTCACCAGACCTTTTTTTTTACTGCTAATTAATCTCTCCTGTATTTCAACATCAGTCTGAATCTAAGAACCCAGTGTCTCTACTGCATCCTAGATCAATATTGAAAACAGAAAAAAACCCCAAGAAGTTCCCTGATTTTTTCTGCCTTTCCTTCTATTATCCAAAAGCTGCTTTTCAACAGCTGAAATAAGCTCATTTCAAGATAATATAAACTATAATTTAAAACTCTATCAGATCATTTTTGCTTTTATCCAACACATGTATCAACACAACAGGAACTGCTGAATTTAGTATCCTCTGCATTCCTCTGAGCATTAGCTCACAAAGCAAGTGGGAAAGAACCTCATTTACCTGGTCACATCATCTATTGGGTCATTTGCAGAGAAACGTAATCCATCTGCATCAACCTTGTGATGCACCGCACGGCATGATAGAGTCAGTATTTATAAAAATCTAGATTGTTTAAGATTGCCAGGCACTTTCTCTTGGTGTATTGTTTCATCTTTCCGTTAGAATTCTTGCTAACATACTGAATTTAAATACACCTTCTCATCATGTACAAAACTTTCTGCCAGTCACCCACTGGTCTGAACAATCTAATATTAATGCTCTAAAAGAGCTGTTTCTAATAGACTTACAGACTCTGTTCTAGCATTACCTATGGATATTAATAAATTCAGATTTCCTTCGAACATCTACTAAAGCCCTGGGCTGGAAGATGTTGAAGCAGATGTGACCTTATAACCAAGCTCTTAACTCACCAAGAATTTGAAAATTAAAGCCCCATGAACGCCCTCCTAAAGTAGCAGCAGCAGCTTTGCCACCTATGAGAATACAGTTCTCTTTCTTGAAGAGCACCTCCACCCATACAGCTGTTCCTGCATATTCCTAACTTGCCTTTGGCAAGTCTGCAAGAATGCCCTCACCTAAAGGTTAAGTCTCTCCCTTTCCTCATCAAAGCCGTAAAGGGATTTTGCACAATCTAACTCAAAGATAGTGCTTGACAGTGGTTGCTCTAAGTGACTACAGTGATACATTTGGAGAGTGCACAATGGAAACTGTTATCACTTAATAACGCTGATAAAAGTTTGAATAGGTGAAACAGTGATAAGATGAAAGGATGCCTAAACTGAGTAAACAGAAAGCAAAATCAAACAAAATCAGGTCACTTACTGAATGCCTAAAAGCTATACTCCAGCTCCAAGTTGGTGATTTTTATGTTTTCCATTTATGGACTTTGGCATAATTTTGTAGTTTAGATACATAGCCTTGCAGCTGACTGACACTGCTGTCTTTTCTTAGTAGCCTCAGCAGACCTCTCAGAAGTAACCTTAAGACCTCTACCAAGCTACCCATGCTAAGTAATACCATCCAACTGCAGATGCGGCACTACTTGTTCTGTGGATTTACTCCCTGCATTTGCTTCTGTCTGCTCCACATCCTAGTCCTTACCCTCATCAAACATAGTTTTTGTTTTAATCTTGATTCACACTGGGGCCAAATTCAGGAGATTTCTATGTGCATGCTTACCTTTATCACCAAAATCATACAGAAGTCAAAGCTTATCTTTAGCACCAAAATCATACAGCATACAATGGTTGAGGAGTTAAGGACAAGCACAAACTTTCTGCAGCTCAAGGCATTCATGCATTCTTTACAAGATGTACAAAACTTTATGTAAAAGCACATGTGCACTGATGGATCTACACTAAACAATGTATTGTCTCAGCTGGCATTACCACATGCTGATTAGAGAGGGAAGATGGAATGACAACTTTAATCATCCCCACAGCTACTAGACCTGCATTCATGTTATGGAGTTGAAATAGGGGTTGAAGAATTTAAAGTAAGGAATTTTACAGTAAGGAAAAAAGGCAGAATGCACTTCCAGGTGAGATGTCAAAGGCAAGTCACATTGTCTTACTTAGGTAACAAGTTGGGTCTCAAATACAGCAGAAAGCTGCCCACTGCCTGTGCTTTGCTGAAGGCAATTTGACAGGACATGGCCAGCTTGATTACAGAATTTTAATATTTGTCTCTGTGAAAGTCTGTGGAAAAGAATCAAAGTGGCAATTACTACACAAAAGCTAACAGCCTATCCCCAGCACTAGATGATTACAGTACCTAAGCCGAGCTTTACTCCCATTTATAGCAAAGTTCCCAGGCACCCACCATTAATTAATTTAAAAACGAAAAGCCATATATATCACCAATTCTTACTGAAGCCACACAGAGCATGCCAGCACAATATGCCCGGTTCAGATTTACTTACACACGTTGAATTTTAACAAGGGAATGACGTTCTTTCCAGAACTACCTCAGAGACTTAGCGAGATCTTTTTTAAACGCTATCTCTAAACACATTAGAAATTCAATCACTCAAAATAGCCACAGAAAGCTGCTACTGCGCTGATGTCCCTCTACAGCCAGCGTGCAGCAAGACGTACAGCATGCCTGGACGCTCCCTAACCGTATAAACGGCTCTGTATTAACCATCCTAAGCTCCCTCTCTTTTTGGAGAGGTGTTACTTATTTTAACAGAAATATTTAAAAGCACGAAAAGAGGTATAAACATTATTTACCCGCCGCTCAGCCCCTGAACCAACCAACCTGCCGGCCAGCAGCATGAGCTGTTGACAAAACACAGCCTCTATTTAAGCCGCAGGCTCCGGCCAGCGGCACAGAGGAGCCGCCGGTCTTTCCCCCGTTCTCCCAGGGGAAGCAGCCGCTGTCTGCGCTTGCACCGGCTCCGACCCCGTCGCCACCTGCCCCAGCACCGGCCCACCCCCGACCTGCAGCTAAGCAGGGAAGCGGGCCGGGGGGGGGAGGGCTTGGAAACTGCCCTTGGCCCCCTGGGCCCCGGTCGTGCTGTCAACCCCGCCTCTGCCCCTCCTCGCCGGCACCTCCCCGGAGCGGACAGAGGGATAGAGGGATGGAGCGGGCATCGCGCCCTCGGGCCGCTCCCTCCCACGTGCGAGCGGGGCAGCCCCCGGGAGAAACCGCCCGGCCCCGGGGCCCGACACTCACCCGCCACCGCCTCGCCGTGCCCGGCGGCAGCCTCATGCCGCAGGGGGTGCGCGGGGCTGTCCGCCGAGCGGCCCCAGGCGGCCCAGCTCCGGCGGGCAGCAGTGCGTAGCGCCGACAGGAAGGAGGGATGGAGCCGGGGCGAGAGGGCGGGAGGGAAAGAGGGAAGCAGGGAGGGAGGGAGGGATGGAGGAGAGGGGCTGGCGGGCTGCCCGCGGGAGGAGCCTGCGCCGCGCACCGCCCGGCGCCGCCGCCACCGCCACCGCCACCGCCGGTGCTGCCCCTGGGGCACCGCCGCCTCCCGCCGCCCGGCACGGAACAGCCCGGACGGTACAGCTCTGCTCCTCTCCGCCGCGGGGCCCACGCTCAGCTGTAGGCACGCCGGCGGCAGTTCGGGTTGTGTAGAGCAGAAGCTGTCCAGGATTTCGAGCTGACATCCGCTTTTACAGCCCTTTTTCCTGCCGGGGTGTAGTCGGGTCGATGTTGTTACAGGTAACGCAGTGACGGGTGCTTTCCTTGGGTCCCCAGTGGGCTGTGAAGAGCGTGCTGCGGGGCTACATGAAACCACAGACACGACCTGGCTGATTCAGACATGTGACACTGTCAAATATCCTTCTTAGGCAAGTATCTTGAGTATCTCCAGTGCTGCCAGCCCTCTAGGGTTTGAAGTGGAGGGCCTGGCCCTACAAACCCAGGACATTCTTGATTTAGTTTATCTTTGTATTTGCTCTAGTTTTTGAGGTCTGGGACTTGACCTCCAACATTTCTTTGAAGCCACAACAGCTGCATGCCAGCCTCTCTTTAAAATTAAACTTCAAATCTTCACAATCCCACAGTCTCAAGAGTCAAGCAATTAAAAAGTATATACCACGAGGCCCATAAAATCAGGAGAGTTGGCAAGCTTATGGCTCCTCTCCTGTTCCCCAGTAAACCATGGCAGAAACGGGAGAAAGAGTAACTACTCGGTTTTCCACGCATTATTGCCTACATTTTCCTACAGAGGTTTTCCAAGTTGCTTTAAATTGTTTTTCTCAGAACCTAGATGATAAAGAACTGCAAATAAATGTATGTATGTATGTGTGAAGGTCCTGGGCCAGACTTGTGCCCCATCTTGGCTAAGTGTATTTCAGGTCCCCAAAGCCAGAGTCTCCTGCTATCCTGAACATTCCCTGTTCATCATAAGTGAATACTGGCTATTTTGTAGAGAAGAAATCTTCCACCGTTTCTCCCCCTTCCGGTGTTTTTGCTTGTGCAAAGATAATTGAAATTTCAGTGGGCCAGCAAGAGACACATGAACCTTGTGGCTAGGTCATGCAGCTGAACGTAAGTCGAGATCTCTACTGTCTTAAGAGCACACTTGACTTCAGGCCTTGTATCCTGAGACAGTTGTTTGTCCATTGACCTGTGTCATTTTCTCAAGAGGAAAGACACGTCTCCTTATACACATACATTCTTGGGAAAGAAGCATTTTTCTTCTAAACAGCACTTAGAGAGAAGCCCTGGCCTGTGAATCCCAAGAAGAAGATGATGTCTTGTCCTGATGCACATTGAAACATTCGTAGCTCCAAAGACAGACAGACTTTGAGAGTTCTCTTAGGGGTCTTCTGTCTGGTAAGTTTAAGCAGCACATCAGTCAGCACTTCACAGTCCCAGATCTCTCCCTTCTCGGAAGATCTGCTGGATGGCTAGTTCTGTGGTCTAGACTTCAGCCCAAGCACCAACAGGTTTGGTATATCAGCTGCCCAAGACCATCAATTTTACATTTAGTTCCTTGTTTCCATTCTAGCCCAAAAGTCTTCCTGCCCCTCTGCAGAGCTGCAGTGAAACTGGGAATATCCATAGCACCAGAAAGCCTGAGGAGAAGGTGACCATTTCACTGTACACGACTTGTCCAAGGGAGGACTGCCTCCATCCTTCTCTTTCTAGACCTCATTAATTGGAGCCTGGTTCTTTCCCTAGAGTCTGCATCCAAGGCTTACAAGGACATGGCTTACACCTGTGCCCTGGATGACTGACCAACAAATGCAGGTTTCCATCCATGGAAGCAACACAAGAACTTTCTTTCAAAGGCATTGAAACTGTTAACTGAAATTGTGCCACCTTTCTTTCCTGCAGTTTTTGTTATTTCACCTGTAGTAAAGGCTCAGAGGAATCTCACTTGTCAGGAAGCTATGTACCATGTACATGGTACCCTGTGTACTATGAGTAATTGTGGAAGATCTGGCTCATTTTCTAGATGCTCAAATCCAGCAATAGCAATTTTTACTGTTTTATCTTTTTCTCTATTTCTCTACTCTGCTCTCGTGAGACCTCACTTGGAGCATTGTGTACAGTTCTGGTGTCCTCAACATAAAAAGGCCATGGAACTCTTGGAACAAGTCCAGAGGAGGGCCACGAGGATGATCAGGGGACTGGAGGACATCCCATATGAAGACGGGCTGAGAAAGTTGGGGCTGTGCAGCGTGGACAAGAGAAGGCTGCATGGGGACCTCATAGCAGCCTTCCAGTATCTGAAGGGGGCCTATAGGGATGCTGGGGAGGGACTCTTCATTAGGTGCTGTAGTGACAGGACAAGGGGTAACAGGTTAAAACTTAAACAGGGGAGGTTTAGACTGGATATAAGGAAGAAGTTCTTTCCTATTAGGGTGGTGAGGCACTGGAATGGATTGCCCAGGGAAGTTGTGAATGCTCCATCCCTGGCAATGTTCAAGGCCAGGTTGGACGAAGCCTTGGGTTGCATGCTTTAGTGAGAGGTGTACCTGCCGAAGGCAGGGGGGTTGGAACTAGATGATCTTGAGGTCCTTTCCAACCCTAACTATTCTATGATTCTATGAATTGGCAAGGCAGCTTCCCTGCAATTTACAGATACTCCATACAGGAACTGGGGAAAGAGTTGTGGGTTGGACTTTTGTAGGAAGAAAAATGTGATTGTGAAATTAGAAGAAGCTGCCAGGAGAAATCAAAAGTAAGGGTTGTTCCTGAAGTTACTTTAAGGGTTTTATATTGTATTAATGATTCAATTTTTAATGACTGAGTTGGAAGTTAAGAAACTTTCTAGATCTGATGCTATTTAAGACAATTCTGCATAGTACAAATTTCAAAGTGATAAAGCTACAGATGGTTGTTACCAATTATCTCTTTTTTTATAGAGTGAAATATACTGATTTTGGTATAAATATCCCATAGATAAATGACTTTTCTAATTACCCTACTACTTCCCATCTGCAGAAAATATGCTGTCTATGCATCCTGTCTCATCATGAGACCTTCCCTCTAAAATATCATAGCCGTTATAAAGAATCTTCTCTGCATGTCATACACATTTATTTTGTTTCCTGCCTTATCTCTGGTTTCCAGAAAACTGAAGAACAGATGCTGGAACGCACACTATGTCTTTATGTCATTGATTTTAACAGCAGTGGGGCTGTGCCTTTCAACATTAATGTTTTGGACAGTAAGAGGGGAAAGTTTAAGTCTCTCCGGATAGTAGGCTAGTTTTAGTTTACCTTAGATTATCTCAGTGCTTAATATTACTTAGAGAGCAACATATCTGTTGTCTAGGTCAGAAAAACTTGTTGTGGCCTGTAAGTTCTAAATGAAAGTGAGAAGCCCAGCTAGGACGTTTTCATTAACGAGAGTTTCCTGGAGCCATTTAGTCTTGTATTTAAGGGTGTGTTGGTTATTTATGGCAGAGAAAAGGAAGGGATGTGTTGATGTTCTGGAACTTTTCCTTTGTGCATTGTTTCCCATTTCACAGTTGTATTTGGCACCCACTTTCCTACACTCAATAAAGAATATTAAAGAACTTCCTTTGCTGAGAAGTTGTGCACACATTTTACAAATCATACAATTTAACTAGAAGTTTGAGAGGTAGTACTTCTACCAGCATTAAGAAACATCAGAGATTGTAAATATATAATACTGCCAGCAAAGGTTTTCCAGAGATTCTTTTTATGGATTATCTATTCCTGTTTTCTTACAAAAAATTATTATATAATGCAACCACCAAGGCAAATTTGGGTCTGACTGAATGTATTCAGGAAAGCCAATAACAAAACTTACAGTTGCTGTGATAAGAGCAAGAGTAGTCTCTGTTTATGCCAAGAATAATCTTGAGTACTGTGGATAGTGCCTGTGTTTTGGTGCCCTCACAAAGCAACAGCTCTTTCCTATGAGGTCTCAGTGGAAGCATCCCTGTGTTGTCAAGTTGGAGCAGAGCTATTCTTGGAAGTGAGTACACTGACCCCAGAGAAATAAGCTCTTTGTAATTAATATTTTTCAAATACAGAAAATTTTGTTCATCATTAGAGACCTATGCTGGTAAATAAAGTGACATGTTAGCAATATATTGCTAAAGGGTTTAATTTCATGGTCTCCCTTGTCTGCAGAACAACCATATGGACTATCATGGGTTTTGTGTTTTCAGGGAGAAGCAATGAAGAACTTTGTTCTGCTGACCTGCACTAACTTAGTGCCATAAATGTAAAAAGAAATGGAAAGAAAAACACTACTTGCCAAAAATAATTAAATTGAAGGCACTTGCATTCCTTTCACTGGAAAAAAATGCTATTTCAGCTGCCTGAAAAGTACATGGTGTGGAAATACTGGATTCGCTACCAGTAATAAGACTCTTATGTTCAGCAATGAAGTTAAAAACTTCTCCTGTGTATTACAGAGATGCTAGCAGGTGGATCTCGTTGACACACACTGCCAAGTGTCAAGATCTTTGTAGTAGTCAGACCAGGGTCATCTGTGCATAGGACAGTGGACAAGGAGCACCAGCTGTTGGGTCCTCAGTATGTTGGGTCTGTCTTGACTGGCAACAACAATTTTTTGAACAGGGCATTTATACCCTCCTGAGTCAAGCAGTTGTTATGCAGTGGTTTTGCCCCAGACCCTGTCTTGCCTTATCATCTAGAAATCTCTGGAAAAATTCCTGCCCATTGCCTTATTTCCTCATTTTGCCATCTTTATGCCTACTGTCTATCTTCCTTTTTGGGAAGATGTTATCTGAGCCCATGCAATTAGAGCATGGTTTTTGGGGGTGATGATTTGACTGTGCTATGGTTTTAGCAGAGCAAGGGCTTGAACATTTGGTCTTGTGTTGTAGTCTTCATATAAGCAACAA